GAAATTTTCCAATTTTCACTCCGTAATTTTTTTTTTTTTTTGCTCAACAGTTAACAAAAATAATTGATCGTCTAGTGGTTAGAGTAGTTATGGTAATTGTAAAGCCCCGGGTTCTTCGATTCAGATGATCTGAAGCTGTGAGTAAAAAAGTGCCATATATATTGATGATTGGATTCATCATAACCGATGATACTAGTGCGCATCCAAGCTTTTGTATATTTTGTTTGGGTGTTTTAAAGTCTAAACACAATATAATTAACCAGAAGTGGATAAATGGTGATTGAAATAATTATCGTAATTAGCACTCTATCAACTTGAACAAATGTTTTGTTTTTAATTATATGACCAACAACGAATTTATCCTAATTTTAGTTTAACCAAGTCTAAAAGCCAACACATGAGAAGAATCCTTCTTTTGATTTTTGGTCTAACCTATAGCTCTTAAATAAACAACTAACAATTGCGCAATTCTAGACGTTTAAAAAAAAGTTGCATGATTCTTCTCATGTTTGATTCTAACGCAATTAAAAAACTCTAACCGACGTCGAAAAAAAAAACAACGTCTGACCAAAAGAAAAAACGTTTCATTTTGGTATAATTTTGTGGGCGTCAACATTCATATGAAAACAACTTTCTCTCTTAGCTTATTATACGTTACAAACACTGAAAACACATTGCAAAACCTCAATTACTATGTATATATCTTCAACATGTAATAACAGTTGTGTTATATAGCTATTTACTATCACACAACAATATAGTAGAGTGAGAGAGGGATATGAAGCCCCACTCTTTGTCTCATGCTTCCATTGCGATATTGAAACTCTAAACTTTTAACAATGGACTGAGTGGTAAAAACTGATCACAGATAAAAATGAATCTGAATGGAGAAACTTTGATCATACTGCATCGTTGCCATTTTGTTCACCGGTCTTGAGGATGTTGAATTTGCAGAGAGGGCAAGTGGCGTTAATGCGTAACCATTTGTCTATGCAAGCATCATGGAAATGGTGTCTACATGAAGTTCTCTTAGCTCTGTTCCGTCTTCATAGTCACATAGACAAATGCAACATTCCTGAAATGAGGAAAAGTATCATTTGTTTGTTGTACCAATGATTTTCAGTTTGGGAAATTGATTAGATTGTGGACTGGGATTCGATTAGCTTACAACTTCGTCGCTTGATAAAACGCGCTCGGTTGGAGAATCGTGATCGGAGATATCATCGTTATAGTTAGTTGCTTTTCTGATTTTATTGGCATAAATAAATAAATACCAATGATTGCGGATGAATAAAAAAATTTCTCGATTCACTTTTTTCTGCCGATGATTGATGATGATACGAAAAAATTTCTCAATTCAATGTAGTTTTTGAACTACTTTTCTCGATTCACTTTGTTTATTATTGTGTAATTTTGATTGTTGTTGCTGCCGATAATTGTGGATAAATCTTCTCGATTCACTAACTTCTTCTTGATTCACTCTTGTTTCTTATTGTGAAATTTTGATGGTGTGATAAATCTTAACTCTAAGCGTCGTGCAGTACAGTGCAATATTCGCCATCTTAACCGCTTTCCCGAAGGAATATGACTACGGACGCTAAGAGGACAATGAGGATGTGTCTGAGGCAAATTGACAACTATGATATTATGATCGAAGCCAAAATGGCAGGTAGGTCATACGCAAAGGCTGTCCATGCAGTTGTGGGAGCAATCGGTGACATTGCTAACTCCTTCAACCGGGACACTCTGAGAGGGGATCTTCAACATATGTGCACGACACGTGATGTATTAACAACTTTATCAACTATCCCCAAGGACTTAATTTGTCAAAGATTATGTTAAACGCAATGTCTTCCTTAAGAAACTCATAATATACTACTTTCATTATTTTCTTCTAAGCAAGTTTCTAAATTCGTTAATAATATTTTTAAATTCATTGAACGAAGATTCTCATTGTACGTGTTGACAAAAGCTAATTTTTTTGACGAAGTAACAATATGGAAACAGAAGACAAAGTTAGTAGACCTATATGAATTTTCTACGGCTTTAAAACTAAAGCACAACAATAAGCAAAATTGTATAGGTCTTTGAATGAAGACCCGCCAATTCTTTGTAAAATGCTACGAAATCGAAATATTTGTTTTTATCAACTTGAGCAAATGTTATTTTTTTTAATTATATGACCAAACAATGAATTTATCCTACCTTTTTAGTTTAACCAAGTCTAAAAGCCAACAATTGCAACAATTCTAGACATTTAAAAAATATTGCATGATGTTCTCATGTTTGATTCTAACGCAATAAAAACCTTTGACCAAAACAAAAACGTTTCATTTTGGTATAATTTTGTGGGCGTCAACATTCATTCATATGAGCATATGAAGACAACTTTCTCTCTTAGCGAAATATTATATGTTAAACACACTGCAAAACCTCAATTACTATGTATATAAATAATCTCAACATGTAATAACAGTTGCATTATACTATAACTATTCACACAGCATTTACACAACAAAATAGTAGAGAGAGAGAGAGATATATGAAGCCCCATTTCTTTGTCTCATGCTTCAACTGCAATATTGAAGCTCTAAACTTCAACAATGGACTGAGTGGTAAATGAATATGAATGGAGAAAGTTTGATTATACTGCATCGTTGCCACTTTGTTCACCGGTCTTGAGGATGTTGAATTTGCAGAGAGGGCAAGTGGCGTTAATGCGTAGCCATTTGTCTATGCAAGCATCATGGAAATGGTGTCTACATGGAAGTTCTCTTAAGTCTGTTCCATCTTCATAGTCACACAGACAAATGCAACACTCCTGAAAAGAGGTAAAGATTCATTTGTTTGTTGTAGCAATGATCTCCAGTTTGGGAAATTGATAAAATTGTGGACTGGGATTCGATTAGCTTACAGCTTCGTCGTTTGATAACACACGTTCGGTTGGAGAATCAACACCAAGTTGAGTCATTATTCCTCCATGAGTTTCCCGTATCTCGCCATTCACTTTCTCTGAATTTCTCACCGTGAGAAACTTGAATTTCGGAAGCCTTTCTATCTCCTCGTCCGACGCACCTTCCTGGAATTTCAAAAACAAACAACTTACTATACAAATCGATCAAAACTGTTGTTTGAACAAAACGGATATTTGTCTTGACTTACCCGATCTGCCAAAGCGTACAAAACCGCAATGATGCAAGGCAAAAAGCAGCAAACAGCAATACCAATGATACAAGCCACAGCGACGCAAAGGACTACAAATATAACATCAAAGGCGAGAAACGCGACACAAAGCCTGCAGACCAGAAATATAAGTACATGAAACCCGAGTCCGCCTAATTCATAAACAACACAGAAGAAGTTGTGTGTGTTTCCAATACAAACCAGTAGAGTTGAGGCGAACTTTGCGCGAGTTCCTCAGAATCAGCAGTGATCCAATAAAACCCAATGATCCACCACACAAATGAGAAGATTGCATTTGTTGATTCAAGGTGCTTAGCAAGACTACAAACAGATCAAAGAACATCGAATCATCAATGAAAGAACAGTTCGTGTAGACAATAAAGAAAAATATCAAAAACTAAACACATACCTAGTTCCAGGTTCAATCTCAGGATCATCTACTGTACCATAATCAACAGATTCATCTTCACTAGATCCTTGAATAGAGCTTAAACCAGAATCAGAATCTTCATTCACATTATTACCATCATCACCTCGTCGTCGTCGTCGACGATACTCAACGATTACACATCCAACATGAATCAAACACTGTAAATTATACCCAACAATCCAAAACCTAAGAGGAACATCAGGGTTTTCTTCAGAACTAAACCCTAGAACCACAATTGTCACAATCACGAAAGCTAGATTCCATAACACATCTAAGACTATAACCGGTTTAGAGTAAGCCCATTCACTCTGTCTCTCCTCAATCTGCTCAGCTGCGGTTTCACGGACTCGAACCGATGACTCACGAAGCATCATACGGTGACTACTAGCACGGCGAAGAAGCCGCGACGCTGCGCCACGTAGCGGCTGCGAAGAAAGGGAGAGAACACGCCGGTGGTTTCGATGCAGAAGCGGAGACGAAACGTCTGTCGTATCCGTCGCCGGAGTAGAAGAAGAAGAAGCGGAGATGGGGATCGGTAGTGGATACATTTTACGGTGTTCGGAGCAAACAAAGATTCGAAATTTCGAGGTAAAGATTGGATCTTTACGAAAATAGAAATTTTGTTGAGAATCGTCTGAATTTTGAAAGGGTCGTGGTTGAATCTTTCACTGGGAATTGAATCGAATAGATAATGTCATTATTTGTCTCAGATTGTCTTTTTGTGTGTGTCATTTTTCGTCAATCTTCCCTACCTACATTACTTTAACACCGACATTTCTTGAACGAAGAACGTCCGACAAGTGTTCGATAAAATGCCTGAGAGAGCATATCAATATCAAGACAGTACCTTCTGTTCATCATCCCGAGAGATTTTCAGTTGCTTTCATCACTTAAATATCTGGAGATTAGACCCAAATAAAATAACAAAATTTTGCATTTATGTGATTAACAATGGAATCTGAGAGTGAAAAATTGTAGTACATGGTTTGAGGTCAGTGATGAGTTTTTATAGCTGCCATACAAAATGCTATACACAGAGAACAAGAAATCACACAACACCATAAAAAAATCCAGCTCCTGGTCTAAACAAGATCACAAAAGCTACAACTTCACAGATTCATCAAACCTTCAGAACTTGTCTGGTTCTGGTACTCATCACTAGAAGCTACTGTGGCTTCAGAGTATAGAGCCACCACACATAAAGCTAAACCATCCACAATTTTATGTAACGCGCCTAAATGTTAAAACAATCCTACTGATTTCCGTGCGTGCTCGGGGATCAAACGATGGCGCAATTCAACAGATGCACCAGACAGTTCTGCAAGAAACCAATAGTCAAAACATCAACAGAAGTGGAACAACAAAACACATCTTGGTTTCTTGTAGTTGAGTGTTGATAAAAATAGAAGAAAGTATCTATCTTTTTCGAACCTTGAGCTGTGAAATCAAATAACCGAGGCAGTGCTCTTCCGTTTGGCAAACATGCTCTCGGGTCTCTAAGATCATCGAAGAACGGGTGTGCACATGCTTCAAGCTGTAATCAGAGCAGCTATTAAAAGTTGTAATAACCAAACATAAATGTAGCTCAAGAAAATCGATAAACAATTTCACTCTTACCGCTGTGCATCGTAGGTTTGGTGAATACTGGAGGAGTCTTGAGGCAAGATCCATGGCTTCTGGAGTTACCTCTCTACGGAATATCTGAGAACCAAGTAATGTTTAGATAAAACAGAGAGATTAAAGAGTGACTACAAGTGTAAAATATTTTCTACCTTGTGCCATGGTTGAGCTTTGATTTGAGGGAACCTAAATTCATTGTAACGAGGATTCATATTCTTTATCTCTTCTCTAGTTGGTGTCCCCAAAATCTGACAATACACAGAAATAAAAGGAAGAAAACAACTCTTAAGATGTCGTAAAATCAACCAAAAGAAAACACAATAAAGATTTTAAACCAAAACAATGTTACCTTAATGATCTCTACCAATTGATCAACACTGCTCTCTCCAGGGAATATAGGCTAGGCAATGAAATGCAACAAGAAAGAGGTTAGAAACTGTAGAATGGTTAAGAAAAAAAGTTATAAAAGCGAAAAAACTTCGAACTTTTTTGTTCTCACCTGTCCAAGCAAAAGTTCAGCCATAACACAACCTACAGACCACATATCGATTGCAGTTGTATATACAGTTGCTCCAAATATGAGTTCGGGAGCTCGGTAATAGCGTGAACATATATACGATATGTTAGGTTCTCCTGGAACCTGAAGACCAAGATGATCAATCATTAACCAAACGTCTTTCAATAACATTTTCCTCGATAATAAACGGTGAAATCTAAAGACTTACCAACATTTTGGCACTTCCGAAATCACATATCTTTAGCTCATGTGTAATGGTATTAACCTGCCAAAGCATTACCAAATTAAAAGAGAGAATAAGAGCTATTAAGGAACTTACACTAATACTAATTCCAAATGCTTACCAATACATTTTGAGGCTTAATGTCACGGTGACACACTCCTATAGCTCGATGCAAGTAATTCATGGCGCGGCAAATCTAATTAAACAACCACAAAAAACATTTTCTAAGCCACAATAATTCGAAAACTAAGAGAGCCATTCAAGGAAAATGAGATAATTTGCCTAACCTGATAAGTGTAAAGCTGAACATAAATCAACGGCATATGAAGATTCATCTTGGTGAAATGTCTCGAAGCACGGTATATAGTCTCGGGTACAAATTCTAATACAAGGTTAAGATAGAGCTCTTCTTCAACTTTATCAGTTGTTCTTGAGAAGAAAGAATGCTTAAGCTCAACTACATTAGGATGCTCAAGCATTCTCATAATCTGAAGTTCTCTGTTCTTGTATCTCTTGTCTTGTAACACTTTCTTTATAGCTACTTGTTCTCCTGTCTCCATACACTTTGCCTCAAAGACAACACCAAAAGAACCTGTACCAATAACATTCTCAGCTCTGTATGAGATTGTCTGCAAAACAAATACAAAAAAAAAACATCATTAGGAAGAGAGATTAACAAGATATTAACATAAACCATTAGGAAATAAACTAACCAACCTTGTCTTTTTGCTCATTTAGACATTTTCTTCTAGTTGTAATAATCTGTCCAGATTCTGTATTATTGCAATTGATGATTCCAACTTCTGTATCCTATAGTCAAAAACATCAGCTTCAAGATTAATGAAACAATCTCTTAAACCAAG